TGGCAGAGGGCACACAGCGAGTCAGAGACGAAGCTGGGACTAAGCCCATGGAGCCTGGCTCCTAGGGCAGGTCCTGGGGTTCTGTCCCGGGGTCCTGTCTGTGGGTCTGAGCCGTGTGCACTGAGCTCTGCTCAGGCAGGGAGGGTCAAGCCCAACCTGAGGACACAGGAGGGGCTGGCAGAGAGAACCTGAGTGGAAGGAAGAGCCTTGCCAAGGAGAGGAAACACTCGGGGACCCCACAGCTCCTCCTACTTTGAGGCCTGACAGCATCTCAAGGCGCAAAGAGCTTCAGAGCTGAGGGCACTGAGGCCCAGAGAGAAGAAAGGATGCTGCGTTCTGTGCTGGTTTTCCTCGGGCTGCTCTCCTCACCCCTTCTGGTAGTGCACGTAGGGCGGGGGACCTCATTGCTGGACTCTGGGCCCACTGTACCCCCCACCCACCCTCCTGACCTCTGCTTTCCCATCAAGAGTCAGCTTGAGGGTAACGGGGAAGCGCAGTGATGTCTGTGGCCCAAAAGAGTGCACTGGGTGGGAGGTGGGTCCAGGCACTGCAGGCCGCGGGACTCCCAGGATGACCGGCCCCCAGTGCTGCCTCCAGGAATCTCACTGCTTGCTGGCGATCTTCTTCTTCCGAGTGGAGACCAGGTCGTAGAAGGGGACGCGGGTGATGCTGGCTCTAGAGTGAGAGTAAGAGGAGTGATTTCAGGGCTGGACTGGCCGTCAAGGGAGTCTGGTCTTCCAGGGCTTCTGTTAGAGTCATGAGACTCCCAGGGATGTGTCAGCCTGCTCTGCAGCAGCAGAAAGGCCAGGTGGCCCCAACAGGCGGGGTGTAGTGGCTCACGTCTGTAATCTCAGCATTTTGGGATTACAGGTGTGAGTCACTGCGCCGATGCGGGCAGATCACAAGGTCAGGAGTTCAAGACCAGCCTGGCCAATATGGAGAAACCCTGCCTCTATTAAAAATCCAAAACATTGGGGCCGGGTGCGGTGGCACTTTGGGAGGCCAAGATGGGTGGATCACAAGGTCAAGAGATCGAGACCATCCTGGTCAACAAGGTGAAACCTTGTCTCTACTAAAAATATAAAAATTAGCTGGGCATGGTGGTGCTTGCCTGTAGTCCTAGCTACTTGGGAGGCTGAGGCAGGAGAATTGCCTGAACCCAGGAGGCGGAGGTTGCAGTGAGCCGAGATCGCACCATTGCACTCCAGCCTGGGTAACAAGAGCGAAACTCCATCTCAAAAAAAAAAATAATCCAAAAAATTAGCCTGGCATGGTGGTGGGTACCTGTACTCCCAGCAACTCGGGAGGTTGAGGCAGGAGAATTGCTTCAACCCGGGAGGCGGAGGTTGCAGTGAGCTGAGATCGCGCCACTCACTCCAGCCTGGTGACACGGTGAGACTGCGTCTCAAAAACAAAAACAAAAACCAGATGGCCCAGCAAGGGCTGTGCCTGGGTCAGTCCAGCCTTGCTAGCTTAGCCCAGTGTCCCATGGGCAGGGCCAGAGAGGGTGAGAGCTCCCGTCAGGAGCTGACAGCCTTGGGAATTCTGTGCCCAAATGTCTCTGGACCCCTCTCCAGGCTCCTGTTGGAGACCTTTGGAAGGTGATGAGAAGAGCTTGGGGAGAAGCCAATAGATCTGCTTGTTGGACTCTGCTCTGTCCCTGGCTCTGTGGCCCTGGGCAGGTCCCTCCCCTCTCTGGGCCTCAGTTTCCACATCTGTAAGACGGAGGTGAGAATAGATCTGCCTGGCAGCCTCCCAGCCTGCTCCGCTGCAAGGCCCCGGTGAAAAGACCCTGAAAGTCCCTGAGACACGGGCCCTGCCCAGCAACCCGTCCTGCCTTCCTCTGCCACCAGGCCTCCTCTCACCAGTATCTTGGGCTGGCTCAGAGTCAAGCCCTGAGCAGGTTTGCCATTTTGCCCTTTACCAGGTACGTCTTCCTTGTGTCTCTCCTGTCGCTGGCACCACAGAACCAGACCCTACACTTTGGCCTTCCTCACCTAGCCACCCCTCCCTATTTAACAGTCTGTGGCTCCCCAGTGCCCCAGGAGAAATGGAAGCTCTTCACCACAGTGGCTGTGGCTTTGCCATGCTCAGCAGTTCCGGCTCCCACCCTGCCCAGCCTCACCTGGACTCGAGGGCGGTGCAGGTGGGCCGTCTGCTGATTGCCCACACCGGTTCTTTTATCTAGAAGTTTAGCTTGAAAGCTTTTTCCTCCACCCCCACCAGGTCCTTCCCAGGCTACTTCGGACCCTGATGCCAACAAGAGCAGTGCCCTGGTAAGGGCAGGGCAAGAACTTTATGCACAACTCTGTGCTCTATTCTCCCACCAACCCCACCCACTGGGCCTCTCCCTTCCCTGTGTCCTGGGGACTGAACTGGTGCCGGGCACACAGGACGTGCCTATGGAATACAGGTGGAAGGGATTTGCAGGCCAGAAACAGGAGGGAGAGGTTGGAGTTAGCCCCCTTTACACACAAGGAAGCAACACCTCAAAGCAGCAGGGCCTTCTGGAAGGTGACGGGGAGCCGCCCCCGGAGCTGGACACCCCTTACCGGATGGCCTCAATCCACTGGTCGCGCTCCTCGGCATTGGCGGCTGAGATGCGGTAGGACTCGTGCTTGCCTTCCACCACCCTGCCGTCGCCGTCAGTCTTGCAGGCCTTGATTTTCTGGCCTCGGCAGCTGGGGTTGTAGAGCTCCAGGCAGAACTGGGGAGGTGGCCGGGCGGGGTGGGGAGAGAGGGAGGCTGAGTGGGCTCTCCAGGAGGCTCAGAGACGCCCAGATGTTGGTGTCCTTGTCCAGCGTGGCAGTCCCACCCCATGACAGGTGAAGGCACAGGAGCTGCTCCCCCCACACTGAGCACTCTCTCTGTGCCAGGCTCCTGAATCCACCATCCTCCCTGAAGTCCCCATGTGACACATGGGCTAGCTGAGGTTCTGAACAGAGCAGCGCTTACTCAGGGTCATCCAGCCAGTTGGGGTGTATGGGCAAGTGAGGACAACCACGCCCTTGGACTGACATTGACCTTCTCCCACTGTCCATGGCCCCAGGAGGGAGAGAAGAGCAGCCCTGAGTTCCACGGAAGGTGGGAGGGGCACAGCCTGGCTTCCAGAAAGACCAGCCTCAGGCCCTCTCCCCACACCCAGTTTAGGAAATTCTCCAGTGGCTCCAGCCTTGGGGACCCCCAACCTGGACACCTTCTGGCTTCTTGGGGTCGTCCACCTTCTGCACGGAGAGGTTCTCAAGGGGTATGATTCCCCGTGGCTCCTTGTCCTACAGGGAGAGGGGAAGGAAGGGCAGGGGCAGGGGCAGGGGCAGGAAGCAGACCTTGAGGCCCAAGACAGGATGTAAACATGGGGGGTTTCCCAACCCAAAGAAGAGCGTGCTGAAGTCTTCTGAGACTGTCCAGCGTGGGGGTGGAAGGTAGGAGTGGCATGTGAAGAGCTCTGGCCAGAGGTCAGGAGGCCCAGCTTTAAGCCCAGCCTCTCCTCTCTGTACCTCGGTTTTTCCCATCTGTAAAATGGGTGTGGAGGGGAACTAAATCATCTCAAAGGATCCAAAGCTGTTATTCGACTGCTCAGTGGGAGTTGGGAAGGGGGTTGTGCAGGGAGAGGCGGGGGCAGGGGAGGGCCCAGGGGACCCTGCTCACTGTGGTGAACTCGAAGTAGTAGAGGCAGTTGTCGGTCAGGATGAACCAGCGCCGTTTCCACGTCTTCACGCGGCCCCCTGTGGGAGGCCAGCGTAGCAAGCAGGTCAGTCCTCCTGGGCCGCTGACACAGATGCTCTCCCCTGGACCCCCAGATGAGTGCCCTGACCCTCCTCTGTCACCCCGCCCCCGACATCGATCCCTCTCTCAAACAAGAACCTTAGTGGCTCCTGTCACCCCCGGGGTTTCCCTGGAGCTGCTTGAGCTGGTGTTCAGGTCACCTCTGCGATCAGGTCCCAGGTGTGGTCCTAGGAATGGCCACTCCCTGCTCTCCCTGGCTACTGTCACTCAGCACTTGCTTCATTCCTCAGCCTGCTCCCTGCCTGGCACTGTGCTGAGCATTTCATCCTTCACTTGCCAGACACTGTGCTAGAGGTTTTAAAAAATATTATTCATCTTAATAACCACGTGTGAGGAGGGGACCATCGTGAACCCCATTTTACAGATGGGGAACTGAGTCATGGAGAGGTTAAAATCATCTGCCCGCGGTCCAGCCGCAGAGCTGGGATTCGAACCCCGGTGTCCTAGTTCCGGAGCCCAACTCTTGGCCATTTTGCTGCACATTTAACCCTCCCAGGGATCATTATCCCCATCTTACAGCTACAGAGGCTGAAAATCTGACCATCGGCACTTGGGTGGAGGAGCTGGGGTTTAAGGGCTGTGTGACTCTGAGGCCCCCTCTCCCATCCAAGTTGGGATTTGTGACTTAGAGCTTCTCAGGGGCAGACAGTACGTGGCTGGAGCAGGACAGGAGGCTGAGTCTCTGGAGGAGGATGGATTAAGGTGTGGTGTGGAGAGTCCGAGTGCTCGGGGTCTCCTGGGGCACTGGGCAGGACTGGCATGGGGCTGGGGGGACAGGAGGTGCTGGAGGCTCAGTGTTGCTGGAGGTGAGCCAGGCTAAGACCCCTGCTTCAAGATGAGGCATCTGTCCCCACCTGCCCTGCAGGCGCCGGCCCCGCCTGGGCTGTCCCTGCTGGAGAGGCTTCCGGGAGTGTGTGTGGGAGGCAGGGGCAGATGGCCAGGCACTGGGGCTCCCCTGCTGGACTCTGCAGTCACCGCTACTGTAGCACCCACCCCAGCTGCTCTCTGCAGGGTGCAGGCCCTCCCTGCCTCCAGTCAGCTTGAAGGCAGCCTCTCCCAAGCCACATCCTGTCACCCTTCCTCCCCCCACTTCCTAACCCTCTGCTCCATCAAATCTGCCCCTGGCTGGCTGTGTGGCCTCAGGCAGATCCCTGACTTCACTGTTGGGCCGTGGGCGGGACAGCACCTTGCCTGAGCTCCGTGGGTTCTGAACCAATGGTAGTCCTCATAACCACGTATGAAGAGGGGCCACTGTGAACCCCATTTCTCCCCATTCCTCTGGGGAGGGAGAAACAGAACCACTGCTGAAGCATTTGTCAATGACTCTGTCTGCCTCCCGCCCCACTTACAGCTCAGCCCTCCTCCTCTGGCTCCCTTCATTCTCAGGACAGACGAAAGGATGGAGGAGGCAGACAACTGCACTGGGGGCAGGAGACCTGGGGCTGTGCAACTCCCTCTCCCAGGCTGCATGCAAGCCTCGTGTCAGCTGTGTGCCTGCGCGCATGAGGTGATGTATGAGTGTGCATATGACGTGTGCCCGCGTGTGCGTGAGTGCCTGCAATGACGTGTGCCTGCGGGCGTGAGTGGACATGTGATGATGTGCGTCTGTCGGCCTCTTACCCAGCTTGAGCAGCCAGCCCTCTCGGTCTGGGTTGAAGAAGGTGTGAGTGAGGTCATTGCCATCGTCCTCAGGAATGGAGAAGGGCTCGCTCTTGATGCTGTCGAAGAGGTTCTGCCCCAAGAGAAGGGAGAGAAAGACCTGGCTGCGAGTCCACCCGAGTCCGAGTCCTGGCCTGGCCTTGAGCAGGTCACTCACTGGCAGGCGCACTCTTTCCTCACCTGTTAGCTTCTCATGGTCCCTGGGCTTTTGGCGAGCCTGTCCCTGGTTCCCTCCCTTGAGCCTGGGCCTGGCTCTGCCACCTGCCACCGGCCACCCCCGTCATGCTTCCCTCTGTGCTACTACACGGCAGAGGGAGCAGGGGTCAGCCCCTCAAACACACACATATACCAATATGTATGCTTACACACACACGCATGCACGCTTATATAAATGCATGCTCCCACATGCACACATTCACATACATGCACACATATACCTGCATGCTCACACACATGCATGCACTCACATGCACACACACACATACACTCACACATGTACCCACTCATACTTATATACATGCATGCTCACATAAATGCACACTCACATGCATGCTCATACTTACACCTGCACGCACTCACACATATATGCACATACATGTTCACACAATGCTTATACACATACATGCAGGATCACACATACATGTACCCACATGCCTTCATGCTCAAATACATGCACTTATACATGCACCCTCACACACTCATGTTTACACACATACATGCACTCATACACATGCACACTTATATACATACATGCACACATACACCTGCATGCTCACAGACATGCATGCACTCGCACACACACATACACTCACACATGCAGGCACACTCACATGCACAGTTATATACATGCACACTCATATACATCACACACACACATGCTCAGACCTACACACTCACATGCATGCTCATATATATTTACACCTGCATGGACTCACACATACATGCACATACATGTTCACACGATGCTTATACACACATGCACACACATGCACACATACATGCAGGATCATACATGCATGTACCCACATGCTTTCATGCTCAAATACATGCACTTATACATGCACCCTCACACACTCATGCTTACACACATACATGCACTCATACATAATGCAAATACAATATACATGCACATGTTTCTGTGCATTCTCACACATATGCATGCTTACAGACACAGACACATACACACACACATATTCTCTCTCTCTGTCTGTCTCTGGGGCATAGCAACCTTGGCAGAGGTTATGGGAGGAGGGTCCTCTCCTGCTTAGGTGCAGCAGCAGAGACTACAAGGTACACCTTGGGTGGAGGGGCCACTGAGGAGCCACCAGGGAGGATGACTGGCCACTTCATGTTAAGGGGCCCAGCTGAGGGAGAGCCCAGGGTGGGATGCTGGCTTAGACTCTCAAAAGCCCCTCTCCTAAGCAGACCTGTTCTGGATGGGCCAGGGTGGGGCCTGGGGAGTTCCCAGAAAGCAGACTGCAGTTCTCCACGGAAGCCTTTCTGGCAGTAGGAGCTGGTGAAATGTGGGAGAGCAGCTTTGTAGGGTAATGAGCTTTTTGTCCTTGGAGGTAAGTAAGCCAGGTCTGGAAGTTCCCTGTGAGCAAGGTGTGACCACTGGTGCCAGATCACCCCTGTGTGCTTTGACTCTCCTGCCATGAGACGTTGTGTTCTGTGAGCAACCTGCTGAGATTTCCAAGTGTTTGGAGACCCATTCTAAACACTGTATATTTCTGCTTATTAAAGGCAAACGCGGTGCTGTCTCCGAGGATGAAATCACTTCCTTTCACTGTGTATGTGTGTGTGCTGCTTGCTGCTCACATGTTGCTGCTCAGATGCTTTCTTCGAGATTTTAAATGAAAATTCTCATGAGTTTGATTCAAAGTTTTAGAAATGGGGCTGTCTGGTTCTTTAAGATCCTTTCTGACCTTAAGAATTCAGGGGTCCAGAGTCAGGGGTGGGCTGGGAGTGACTTTCCTGGGCTCAGTCTGGCTGTGGGGCTGTGGAGGTGAGGAAGAGCGGGCCCGGTTTCTCTCTGGGGAGCCCCTACAGGCATCCCTGGGAATTCCCAGTTGGCACTGGCTGGTTGAACAAGGGCCTGGAGCAGGAAGGCCCTATCAACAAAGCTGTCAGCACAGACACATATTTGGAAGGCCCTAGGAGCCGTGCAGGGGGGCAGACAGGAGGTCTCGACTGCCACAAAACCCAAGGGGGGTGGGCAGGGAGGGACCCAGCAGCTTCTGCGGTCACTGTATCAGCCTGTACCTTCTGCCCCCGCAAAGAAAACGGCTGAGTTCACCCACATTTCCTGTCCCCTGTATACACCAGCCTCCCTGTAAAAAAATGCCCTGCACCCACTGCCACCAAACCCCGGGGCCCAACTGTCTTCTCCCGGTGGGGTGGACGTGCAGAAACGCAAGGGCCTCCTCCTCCCAGTGGCCCCGCTGGCTCTGTGTGCCCCTGTCCCCACACCCTCAGTTTTTCTCTAAGGAGTCTCTGCTCCTCTGTGTTCTGTCCAGATCACTCAGCAGGGTTGCCACCCACAGGTCCCCAGCCCCAGGCTCCAGGAAGGGGTGAATGACTTACATCTGGTTGATCAGCACATTTCATCCTGCTAACCACAGTGCAGGGAGGGCCAGGAGGCCCAAGCCAATCAATGAGTCCTAATCCTGGGACTTCAGCTGAAACTGCTGAGGAGGAGGACTGTGAGAACTCGGGAAGCCAGGGCCATCTCTGCCATACCTGGGCAGAGCTTGTTTAGGAGAGAAACCAGGCCGGGCACGGTGGCTCATGCCTGTAATCCCAGCACTTTGGGAGGCTGAGGCCAGCAGATCACCTGAGGTCAGGAATTCGAGATCAGCCTGACCAACTTGTAAAAACCCCCGTCTCTACTAAAAATACTAAAATGCCTGTAATCTCAGCTACACAAGAGGCTGAGGCAGGATAATCACTTGAACCCAGGAGGCAGAGTTTGCAGTGAGCCGAGATCACGCCGCGGCACATTCCAGCCTGGGCAACAGAATAAGACCCTGCCTCAAAAAAAGAAAAGAAAAGGTATAAAGCCAGCATCATGAGCGCACTTTGCAGACGAGGAGGCTGGGGCTCATGTCCAAGGTCACACAGATGTAAGGGCAGAGCTGGGGTTTGACCTCCCATCCCATGAGTCTGAAAACTGCACCTTTGCCCTGAGCCTCTTGGGGACTCTGCCCCTGACCCATCTGGATGCCCAGAGCAAGATCGTCGGAACCCTCCTGTGCCCTGACTGCCATCGGGCACCTCTCCACAGCCTTTCCCAGCCGGGCGTCTTCGTGGTCCGTGTACCCTTGAGGTGACCTCTTTTTGGGTCATATGTCTGTAAATTTCATTTTGAAAATTGGGTCACTTAAAAGCATTACATGTCCTCACTTAACAGGTCCGAACTGGAGAATCTTTCTGCCAAGTGGTGCCCTTTGAAAATCTAAAGGTGCTTCAAGCTGGATCCCTGCTTTACGAATGGGGAAAATGAGGCCCAGGCAGAGGGTGAGAGGATCCCCAAATCTGCACGCTGCCCATGTGTTCCTTCTTTCTTTTCGAGATGGAATCTTGATCTGTCGCCAGGCTGGAGTGCAATGGCACAATCTCAGCTCACTGCAACCTCCGCCTACCGGATTCAAGCGAATCCCCCGCCTCAGCCGCCCGAGTGGCTGGGACTACAGGTGCGCACCACCACGTCTGGCTAACTTTTTGTATTTTAGTAGAGACGGACTTTCACCACGTTGACCAGGATGTTCTCAAACTCCCGACCTCGTGATCTGCCCGCTTTGGCCTCCCAAAGTGCTGGGATTACAGGCGTGAGCCTCTGTGTCCGGCCTGTGTGTTCCTTTGTGACACGGGAAGCTTCAGGATTAGCCCCTTCAACCACAGCAGCACTTGGCTGACTGCCTTACCCTTCTGCACTAATCCTATGACCTGGAACTCAGGGAGGTCAAGCCACTTTCCCAAGGTCACACAATCAGAAAGTGGGGTAGCTGGGAGGGATGGGGTTCGACTCTGGCGCTCTGTTCTGGGCTGCCAAAGAGGATGATAAGGGCTTCCTAGACCCCCCGGGCAGATTTTGAAGCTAAATTGAGATAATAAACCCCAAAGCCTGGTGAGAAGAAACTTACAAGTTCCATACAAATGTGGTGCATTGTTATTAAGAAAAGGCTTGAATTGGGAAAAAGAGCTAAGGAGGCAGATGCTGGAGAGGACTCACTGGGAGCTGGAGGTAATAACTGAACTCCTGTGGGAGAGGCAGGACCAGTGCTGGGAGGTAATTAACTCATTCCCTGCCAGACAACTTGTGCCCGCCTTGTGCCATGAGGACCCCACAAGAAATGAGTCACCAATGCTCATATGCCTTTTATGTTTCAGGCATTTTACTAAGCGCTGTTTTTTTTTTTTTTATCATTATTAATTATTTTTAATGGTGACATAAGCCACAAGGCCCTACTTCAGCTGGGGAGCCGAGCAGGAGGCAGGTATTATGTACCTGGCATCCAACATTTAAAATAGATACTCCCCGTGGTGGCAGATCTGGGACACAGGTATTATTATTCCCGCTCTCCTGGCAGAGGGGACAGTGGCTTCAACTCCAGTGAGTCCTCACCCAAGGTCACCTAGCAGGCAGACAGGGAAGACAGGAGTAGAGCTGAGCTCTAACCAGCTCAAGCCTTCATGCTACATACTGGCTCCTCTGTGATGCACTTTCTCTTCTTGGGACCCAGCAAGGAGTGGGTTAAGGGTGAGGCAGTTCTCAAACACCGAGGGGCACCAGAATCACTGCAGATCCAGGCCCCACCCAAGCCTTGGAGGTAGGAGGTTTACTCAGCCGCAGGCTGAGCTGGGACGGTGATGTTTGCGCCTCCTCCTCTCCTCCTCGCCGGGCTCTGACCACGGAGGGGATTGAAGTTCATGGGGCTCTGGGGCATCCCAGTTCTTGAAGTGAACTTGTCCATTCATTTTTCCCAAGGCAGGTTCTCAATCTGTCCCTCCTGTTCTTATGAATTCCCCCTGGCTCCCTGTGGCCCACAGGAAACAGGCAAACTCCTGAGGCTGTCATTTGAAGCCCTGGGCCTGCTGGCCCCACCCTGCCACCCACTACTGTCCACATATGCCACACCTTGGCCACACAAGACACCTCTCCTTTCCCAACCAGGACACACCTCGGTTCTGGACACTTTATGAAATGTGTTTTCTCCACTTCTCCTCTTGAAACACTCCCATGTAACCTTCAAGGCCCAGTTCAGAAGTCACCTCCTCTGGGAAGTCTTCCAGGATGGCACCCTCCCCCTGCCTCCGGAGCAAGACAGCCAGAGATGGCAGATCTGTGTCTCCAGAGCTCCATCCCCACAGTCAGCACGGCTTGTAATTCACATGTATATGGTCCTCCCACCAGACCCCGAACTTGGTCAGGGCAGTATGTGGTTGATTGATTCATCCTTGGGGCCCTGTGCTGGGTGCAGAGCCTGGTGTGGTATAGCAGGGTGCAAGCTATTTGAGAAAGGGGCCAGAGGCTTGGCTCCTGCCAGGCTCCCCAGCTCAAGTAGGGCCTCTGGAAGACCTCAGGTTCCTCCTCTCTAAAGGACAGCGGGCTTAGAGCAGAGTGTGAGGGTTTTCCGGCCTGACACGCTGAGAGTCTAAGAATCTCTATTCTCAGAAATAGACCTGGGTGTGTGAGGTACCCTTTTGGGAAGATGTGAATGATGGCTGCCCAGAGTCTCCCAAAGGCTTAAGTCTGGGTGGACCTCCTGGGTGGTCCATCTCGGACATCTTCCTCAAGATGGGGCCTCTCGTGGGCAGGTGGGTTTCAGGACCAACCTGCTTTGTGATGGTGCCTCTCAAGACAGTCACAGCCTGCGTGGGCTGTATCAGCCGAGTCCCCACTGGGGGCTGTCTATATCAGAGAAGCCCCTCCCCGGCCATCCCTCTAAGGACACTCCCTCCTGGATGCCCGGGCCGGACTGAGTGAGCAGTGCCTCTCACCCACAGCTGGTCCTCCGGCAGGTCGCTGCCATTGTTGATGCCACGATTCATGGACACAAAGCGCTCAAAAGGCGGCTTGTCCCGGACGTTGGGGTTGTGGAGACTGGTGTTGAGCATGATGATGGAGAAGGACAGCACGTAGCAGGTGTCTGCGGAGGGGACAGTGGTCACAGTCCTGGCCCTGGTCACTCTCCCCGCCTCTGCCCTGGTCCCCTCTAGGGCTCAGAATCTGCTGTCGCAAAGCCCTGAGGGTCCACCTTGTCCTCCTGGCTTAACCTTTGAGGCCCAGCCTGCCCACCCATCCCACTCTTGCTGGTCCCCACCCCCTCTAAAGGAACCTCAGTCTCTCTTTCTAAGCCCCTTCCAACCCCTGAGCTGTGGCTCCTGCTGGGCCCCCTGCCAGGCCCAGCCTCCCTTCCCTCCGCTTCAATCCTCCTGGCTCAGCCATGGCACCAGGCCTCCTACCCGCGGAGCCCTTCCAGCCCCTGCCCACTCTGTTCTCTGCCTCTCAGAACTCGGGGAACACTCATTGTTGGCAGCACTGTTCAGGGCTGAGCCATGTGCTGCTCTGAGATCTTGCGGGCATTGTGGGGCTCCTGAGCCCCAGCGCGGCTCCCATTATTCAGACATTCACGTGCTCAGGAGGGAGGCTGGGCTCCTCCTGGTAACCCCAGGTTACCACCGTGGGGTCTTTTGTGGAGTAACTGGGCCCTGATTCCAGCTGCGTCTCCCACTCTCTGATTGACCTTGGGAAGTACCTGACCTCCCTGACCTTCAGCTTCCCCATCCTTGACGTTCAGAGGTTCGTGTTTGAAGTAGCTGCCTGTTGGAGAACGTCGATGATTCTACCTCTGATAGCAGTGGCGCTGAGCATTGTTGATGCTTGCCCTGTGCTAGGCTCTCACACCCCCGTGCCCATCCTCTGAGGCAGGTCCTGTTATCATTCCCATTCTACAGATGAGGAAACCGAGGTGCAGGAGGTTAAGTTGTATGTGCCCAACATCATAAAATTAAGTAATTGGACAATGATTCAAATCCAGTCTTTAAGATGCCTTCTTTCCTACCAGAACTATGTATTGAGTGCATACTCTGTGCTTTGGGCCTGGGAGTCATTGGTGATCGGCCTGATAGGGTCCCTGCCCTTACAGGACGTTTAGACTTGTGACAAATCATAAACAAGCAAGCACCAAATTAAGATCTAACTTGAGTACAGCAAATGCTCTGGAGGGCTAGTCCGTGGACAGCCAGGAGGTGGTGTGCTTGAGGACAAGTCATTTCTTTTCTTTCTTATTTATTTATTTATTTATTTTTACGAGATGGAGTCTCACTCGGCCACCCAGGCTGTGAGTGGCATGATCTCAGCTCACTGCAACCTCTGTCTCCTGGGTTCAAGTGATTCCCCTGCCTCAGCCTCCTGAGTAACTGGGATTACAGGTATGTGCCACCACACCTGGCTCATTTTTGTATTTTTTGTAGAGACGGGGTTTCAATGTGTTGGTCAGGCTAGTCTCAAACTACTGACCTCATGATCTGCCCACCTCGGCCTCCCAAAGTGCTAGGATTACAGGCATGAGCCACCGCGCCTGGCCAACAAGTCATTTCATCTCTCTGAAGCTATCTTCCATGCGTCAGGGAGGGATGGGGAGACTACTGACCTCAAGCAGTTGATGTGAGGATTGAGTGACTTTGGCCGGGCGTGGTGGCTCACACCTGTAATCCCAGCACTTTGGGGGGCCGAGGCGGGAGGATCACCAGAGGTCAGGAGTTCAAGACCAGCCTGACCAACATGGTGAAACTTTGCCTTTACTAAAGATACAAAATATTAGCCAGGCACGGTGGCGGGCGCCTGTAATCCCAGCTACTTGGGAGGCTAAGGCAGGAGAATTGTTTGAACTCGGGAGGTGGAGGTTGCAGTGAGCTGAGATCACGCCATTGAATTCCAGCCTGGGCAACAGAGAGACACTCTGTCTTAAAAAAATAAAAAAATAAAAAGGAGTGCATGGGGATTACTCTGCATACAGGGTTGGTTATTGTTACAGTAACTAGAGCCAGAGAAGAGGCCGGGATAAGTTGGCTATGCTGGCTCCTCACCCACCCTGTCTTCTGGGTGTCCTCACATGGGCATTATGTTAGCCCTGGGAGAGAGGGGTATGAAGGACTGACCTTTGTGGATCTCCTTCTATGCACCTTTTGCCCCCTACACCCTACCCAGGCTGTTTCATGCTTCTAGGCCTTTGTTCTAACTGCAACTCCTGCCAAAAAGGCCCTTTCTCTCCTTAACCTCCTGGAAAACTCCTATTCATCCTTCAAAACCCTATTCTGGACTCACTGCCTCTGAAAAGCCATCTTGGACATGCTGATTCCCGTATGCCTGCCCTCAGACAGGGGCGCTGCTCCCTTAGCCTTAGCATCCTGTGCCATCATCTCCTGCCTCCTCGCCTAAGAACTGTGTCTCCAGGCAGCTCTCTCAGATAAGCACCCAGCAGCAATGGAGTTGGTGCTCAGTGAGGGTAATGAAGGGGTCTAGGCTTCCAGGGTCTGGGTACTCGGGGGCAGCCCGAGGGGGTCTGTGGAATCTATGCCTGGCAGTGCTGAAGGGGTCACAGATGCGTCAATTTGCATAATGAAGACGGAGAGGAGGCAGCCTTGAACTCATGTAGGAAACAACTGTGATCAGAGTCAATGCTAGACCTGGCAGATCCATGCCTGAGCCGGGCCCTGTGCCAACCGCTTCGTGCAGAGTTTCGTGTTAATCCTTCAACCGTGCTAGGAGTCTAGGACTACCGCGTCCAGTGAGAATGAGGAGTTAGGCCTTGGTGAAGGTCACACAACTAGTTAGTAGCAAATTAAAGCTCACCCCTCGAAGAGGCCAGTGAGTTGAGACTCATGAATTTCTTTCTCTTTCTTCTTCTTCTTCTTCTTCTCCTTTTTTTTTTTTGGGAGGGGGGGGATGCAGTCTTGCTCTTGTTGCCCAGGCTGGAGTGCAGTGGCATGATCTTGGCTCACTGCAACCTCTGTCTCCCAGGTTGAAGTGATTCTCCTGCCTCAGCTTCCTGAGTAGCTGGGATTACAGGTGTCTGCCACCATGCCTGGCCAACTTTTGTACTTTTAGTAGGGACAGTGTTTCGCCATGTTGGCCAGGCTGGTCTCGAACTCCTGACCTCAGGTGATCCACCCACCTCAGCCTCCCAAAGTGTTTGGATTATAGGCGTGAGCCACTGCGTCCGGCCCAGACTCCTGATTTCTGATGCAGCCAGACCACCTGGCCAACCCAGCACAAGCTGCAGTCTTTGTCTTTTTAGTCCCTCTCCCCTCCCCACTTATTTAAAATTGTGGATTCTAGGCTGGGTGCAGTGGCTCATGCCTGCAATCCCAGCACTTTGGGAGGCTGAGGTGGGCGGATCACCTGAGGTCAGGAGGTCGAGACCAGCCTGGCCAACGTGGCGAAACCCCGTCTCTACTAAAAACACAAAAGTTAGCCAGGACTGGTGGCACCTGCCTCTAATCCCAGCTACTTGGGAGGCTGAGGCTGGAGAATCGCTTGAACCTGGAAGGCAGAGGTTGCATTGAACCCAGATCTCACCACTGCAATCCAGCCTGGGTGACAGAGTGAGACTTTGTCTCAAAAATAAATAAATAAATAAATAAATAAATAAATAAATAAAATAAAACTGTGGACTCTATATAGGGCATGGTGGCTTACACCTGTAATTTTAGTACTTTGAGAGGCTGAAGTGGGAGGATCTCTTGAGCCCAGAAGTTTGAGACCAACCTGGGCAACATAGTGAGACCCTATCTCTATTTAAAAATAAATACAAATAAAAATAAAACTGCGGACTCTAGCATGCAGGCATGGGGAAAAGTACACAGAGTACGTGCACGGAGTTCAGTGTATGATCCTGAAGCCAACACTCAGGTAACCCTCAGGTCCGGAAGGGGACGCCCCTGCCCCCCAGAGCCCTCCCAAATGTGCCCATAGTCACCTCCTTGCTCTTCTTCACCTTTCCCCTATTTGTGTGCACCCCTAAATGTTATGGTGAAGCTGAACTTGCTGTCGGTCTAAGTGTGAATGGAATGATCTTTCATCTGTGCCGGACGTCCTGTTAGATTCATCCATCCTTATTTGTCCCTAGGACCTGGAAATGGTGCTGGGCAGTCCCTGGGGTTAGGTCAGCCTGCAGGTGTCTTATTCCAAGAAAGCAGGCCCACACCCAAACCCACTGGCTGCAGCCGAGTTTTGTTTATTTAAACCCAACCCGACCTGCTTAAAACCTTATTGCAAAATACGCAATCCTGGGCTTCTCTGGTTTTCCTTGCACCTGGGTTCCCTTCAGACCCCACCCCGCCTCAAAGACACACACATTTCCCAGCAGGACTCTCCAGTGGGAACCCAGAAGTAAAAAGTTCCAAAGCAACTCCATTTTTTTTTTTTTTTTTGAGACGGAGTCTTGCTCTATCACCCAGGCTAGAGTGCAGTGGCGCAATCTCGGCTCACTGCAACCTCCGCCTTCCAGGTTTAAACAATTTTCCTGCCTCTGCCTCCCAAGTAGCTGGGCTTATGGGCGCTGCCACCGCGCCCGGCCAGTTTTTGTGTTTTTAGTAGAGACAGGGTTTCACCTTGTTGGCCAGGCTGGTCTTGAGCTCCTGACCTCGTGATGCACCTGCCTTGCCCTTCCAAAGTGCTGGGATTACAGGTGTGAGCCACCGCGCTCGGCGCAACTCCACCTTTTAGATCCATATAACGTCTTCACATAGTAGATACTGGGAAGAAAATGCTCGCGTTGGGCTTCATTCAGCCCGAAACCATTGTTTCAAAAGCTTTGAGTGAAGTTGGCTGAGTATGGGTGTGACACACACAGACACATCGCTGGCTTCGGCGAGAAACCTTTCCGGGTCTCCGCAGCCGCCCATGGTTCTCGCTGAAACTGGACTCATCTAAGCTCAGCTCAGATATTTGGCTGCAGGATCGGACCCTCCCTTGCCAAAAAGACCGCTCTAGAGGTGACTGCGCAATACTCTCACCCACCGCTCCGACCCGCTCCAGGAGCCCTCCACCTAGGGTCCCCGACCACTGGGAGGCCTAAGGGCTGCCCTGAATTCAGGTGCCCCAGCGCCACCGAGGGAGAGTGCGCGTCCTTCCCAGCCGCTAGTGGCATAGTCCCAAAGCCCCACAGGAGGGGTGATGTCGCACGGTCCCCAAGACCTGCC